TAGAGCAATTTTATTAACATGCCAATGTAATAATACCAATTTATAAATCAATAAATAAATAATTTTAAAAAACAACCAAAGTTCAATCAGTTTTAGACCTCATTTTCATTGATTCTGAAATGTGTCCCCAATTGGATGTTAAATGTTATAGTCAGCCTAAGTAAATGCATTTTACTAATGTGTATTTAGACATGTACTAAACAGAAAAAATGAAAAGTTTAGCTACACTAGTCTCCCATGTTTATGAATAATTGGGACCAAGTAACCCTTCATGAACATCGAATTCTCAAACTTTGAGTTCTATTTTCAATGTTAAATTTGTAATTCATTCCAAGACTTTATGTCAACTCTGGCTAAACTGTGGCTCATGAGCTGCATGTGGTTCTTCTAGACCCTTATTGCAGCTCCTAGACTTATACAATTTCTTTTTATAATGCTGTGTACACTACTTATACATATATAATATTTTTGTAAGTATTCTGACTATTGCAATCTCTGTGTATATTACACTAACTCTCAACTTAATCTCAAACAGGCAACTGAAAGCTTAGGGTACATTCATAAAGTCAAAGGAGTTAAATGATTGTTTACCCACTCAGTCAGTCATATTGTACCAGCAAACTAAGAGTGATAAATATATATTTTATAGTTAATTAAAATAATATAAATAGATGATGCATCTCTCCAATTGGTATTACAATAGAGGATGCTGCTCTTATTTCCAATTTTCAAAACATATTTATAAATTGAAATATTTTATGCATTTTATAAATAACTAGCAGGTAAGCCCAGCATTGTCTGGACAAAAAGTATAAACATTATGATTATTAGATTATTTCTTACTTCAATTACTTTGTAGTTATATAAATGAAATACTAAAATTTAATAGAATAGAAGGGTCTTCTATTAAATTTTAGTATTTGATTTATATAACTACAAAGGTTATCTTATGTAAGGGTTTATCACATCAATTGACCAATCTAATGCAATCTAAAAATTCTTTAAATTGTGTAGAAGAATATAGAATTTTAAAAATGTGTTTGATTGGTCACTCAGCATGATAAACCCTTATGTAAAATAACCTTTGTAGTTATATAAATGAATTACTATAATATAAGAAACATTAAAATGTAAACCATGTAAAGAGTTTGGTTATTTTAGCTTACCATTGTGATGTATTTTTGAAATACTATGATGGTAAGAAATGACACAGTTTCATTAGTCAAGTAGATAGAAATAGTCAAGTTTCAAGTAGATAGAAATTGAAAATACAATATCTTAAATTTTTTCAGATATCATATTTTTTCTAATGTTAGCTCTAACAAACTGTTTCATTCACAGCTGAATATGAAATGGTAATCTGCCAATGAATCAAATTTTGTCTAAAGTCATCACTCTCGCAAACCACTTAAAACATATTTTGTGCTTGCAGGTAACCTAGCATTATGCAATTTTCCTGTTCGAATGCCATCATACTACTGGGTCTTACAGGAAGAAGGGACTGTTGCAGGAGGTTGAAGTTAATTCAACCAAAGTAGTCATTGACCTTCTCCTGGAAGAGAGGACAGTCAATGACTACTAATTTACACTGGTATACTATTAATATTTGAAAAGTGATCCGTGTTGGATAGGTTGTGACACCCCACATGTGATTGAAGTTGCTAATCTTAACATCCAAAAGACTTGTAAATCTGTAATAATGAGAAAATAATTGTTCTTATGTGATCCCATAAAAAAAAACTGGTGAAACCAGGTTGAAAAAGTAAAGCTCAGCAAAAACTTCTAAGTTAAAGAAAACTTTTGAAAGTTATGACATAAGAATAGTGGAAACAGATTTGACATGTAAGACTCAACACAACTATAGACTACAGAATAAAGAGCACATTACACAGACTACAACTACAGGAAATTTTGAATGAAGCAATGTCACCATGATAGTAAATAGGATAAATAAACATTGGCACAGAAAAAAGCTTTGAGCTCTACTTTGTGCCTTAAAATTGTTGCATATACTGTAAATTAACTAGGCTGAACATTAGATCATCTTTAAGCAGTAAGCAGTATTGGGAGAAATGGGTTTATGAGTTAATAAGGGAGGATGAAATCGGGAGGGGTGGGATGTCTAGGTATTGTGGTAGATAAGGGGCCATCCATAAATTACATAAGGCATTTTGGGGTGGATGGTTGTCAAGAATTTCTTATGATTTCTTACTCAGGGGTAAGGAGTAATAGATCTCATCTTACGTAATATTCTTAGTTTTATTTTTTGATCTCGTTGAGTGGTGGAGTTTTGAATTTAGCTTCAATTTGACGGTTTCTTTTAAGAACACTCGTACCAATGCCATATCGTATGATATAATAAAATAATAATTCTAGCAAACTCACGTTCTACACATTTATTATTATGGGAGAAAGGCCATGTGCTGGTTTCTCTCTCTTCTCTCGTTTTGTTTTGTATGATGTTTCTATTTACATGTGTACTAGCTAGTCGATCTGTCAAAATTTTTTGTCCCCTTTTGTGAAAATTAAAATTAATATAAAAGTGAATATTATAACGTTGATTAATGATAATAATAATGAAAATATTGTTGATAATTAAAAAATAAAGTTCTTAAAATAAATTGTTCATTCGAATTCATTAAATTTTATTTTTAAATTTGTTCACATAAAATCTTTTATAAATAATAGTACATATTAATTAACTTATTAATAATTATATATTTTGAACCTAAAGTTTTTAGGATTTCATAAAAAAAACTTTTTTTGTTAAAATCTTTCTAAAAAATCATGCCTAAATATTACGTATGATAGGGAAGGGGAGGGAAATGAAAGAAAATATTACGGTTTCTTACACAGGAGTGGGTGAGGGTCTAGAATGACCGAAATCGCCCTTATGTGATTTATGGATGGCCCCTAAGTATATCGTTGTAAATATCACATTTGTAGACAAATTATTAGAATTGGTTTGGTTTATTTTGTTACAGCAATGTGACACATGAGCAATCTGCCAAGGAGGATGCATCCCAGGAAGACTTTTATGTAAAGCTGGCCCATATTTAGGTGTAACTAATGTGAAGAAAACCCAGAAAACACATGACCAGTGCATTTGTGATGTGCAAAGCCATGACCGACTATCAGTGTTTGGTGGTTTTATCCACTATTGCTGGAGGGTACTTATTGGGCTGCAATTTTAAAAAATTGTAGACCTGTAAAATCCCCCTTCCTTAATTTTGAGAATAGAGTTAGATGACAGTCAAGACCAGATATCTAAAGCTTAAGAGCAGGAGGGCCAGATTAACTATATACAAACTTCTGGTTTGTACTGCAAGTCACATTATTTCAATTCAAATTTTCCCCTGAATGAAAATTCAGGGGAAAATTTCAATGAAATTTTCCCCTGAATTTTCCGTCCATTCAGGGGAAAATTGAATTGAAATAATGTGACTTGCAGTACATAACCAGCATGATGGTATTGCTAACAAAAGTATAATGTTTAGGGGAAAAACTCAACTACATTCCTTGCAAGTGCTATGTGCTACCTGTCACAGTAATTAATTAATTAAGTTAATTAAGTGAATATATATTTTTTAAAATTATATCCTTTTTTGTAAGAATTATATTTAGTTTATTATTTTCTTAAATTTTTTACCAATAGGTGGCATTACATGTAAAGCCAGCAAATCAAATGTAGACAGAAATTGATATATAAAAATCAATAGTTTGGGATGGGATGGATGTACAGTACACTGTACATTATCTATCTTAGATGTATGTAAATGTAACTGCAGAGTTTCATAGCAATTGATCAAATGGCCTAGGTGTGCATAATAAACAAACATCCTCATTTATATATAGAGATTAGCATAATCTCAATAGGTCAAGCCCACATCAAATTAAAAAAACTATGGTATATTTTCAATGGAAAATATTTTAAATTATTTTTAGAACGTAAATATTCAAATTTTATTGTTGTGTATATTGAATATAATAAAAACTTATAGAAATAATTTTATAGCATTTCAATATTATTGTTCCATCACTGGACATATTCTATTAATCAAATCATATGATAGGTTTGATGATTTAATTAATATCATTTTATTTAATTTTAAATACAAGATTTTGTTTTCTTTTAAATAAATTTTATTCTGTGCTGATGATCGTCATTACCAGATAGGACACTTTACATAGGAACAGCTAAATGATATTAATTAAAATGGAACAGGTTTTCTTTTAATGTTAAGCTGTTCTCTATATTACAAGCACTTCCTAAAGCACAGATGGACAATCTTTTTAAATGTGTGCATCAAAGTCACATCTACAATGCAAAATTTTCTCACACCAACCAAAATCTTTGGGGTCATATTTTGGTGTTTTAAGTATTGAGAACCTTTTCAAATAATCAAAGGTCTACATATATGCACACATTAGAAACCCTATAAATTCTTTACAAAATAAAACAAATTACCTTTAATATTTTTAAGATAAAATAAATTTGATAAAAACTGTTATCATTTTGTAATAATTAGAGTATTCTGTAAATTTTAAATACAGTTGTCCCTCTATATTCCGACGTTTTTTAATCAGACATGCTCAGTAGTCCGACGCACCTCCCGTCAAGGTACCCGTCCCCGTTACGTGTCTGCTTGCACAGAAGCATGTCGCGATGTGAATCTCCCCATCCAATTCTTACTCAATGACACACATTTTGTGTGTTTTATGTGAGCAGTTCTGTTCAAACAGTTGGAGTAGAGAATATTGTAAGTTACTGCTAGCAAAACAATGCGAAATATGTAATTATTTTCGGTAATCCGGACACTTTTGGTAATCTGACACACCTTTGGTCCCATACCTGTCGGATTATCAAGGGACAACTGTATTTATATCATAAATTTGATGAAATATTATGGCAGTAAAAAATTAACAGCACAATTCTGCTCTTAATTTCACTTTAAAATTCTTGGACTAGATTTTAAAGATAAAGAAAGAAAGAAAACATATTTCCAATCAAATCATTTTTATTTTTTCCTCACACACCATTACATAGTGAGGTCATTAAATATGACAAATTATTTGGGAGCCTCAGCTGGTGGTTTTGGTGCTTTAGCTTTTTTTGGTTTAGAGGCTTTAGTTGCTTTTGATGGTGTCTTTTCCTTTTTCTCCTCTTTTTCTACTGGTAAACCTCGATTCTTCATCTTAATTTCTTCTCTCTCTTTCTTTCTTTTAAGTGCCAATAAAGCAGCATTACGCTTTGTAACTGCTGCATAAGGATTCAACTTCAACATAACTCTAATATTTTTCAGAGGATTTTTCTTCAACTTCCTTCTTTCTACCTTATGAACCGCAGGACGAATAGCTTTACGAATTTCTTCACTCTTCAACAATCTGGACAAATCGGTGTTAGACATCTTCGGCATCGGAAGATTGTAATTCTTCTTCTTCAAAGATTTTTTTCTCCATGTTCCGTAAAGGGAATCCAATTTACGAAAGGCACTTTCAGTCCAGATGATGAAACGACCGACGTGCCCACCCGGAGCAATTCGCAAAAGATTGAGCTTCTCAACATTGATGGTCTCGATTCCAGGTATATTTCTGAAAGCTCGAACTAATCCGCTATCCTTGCTATAGACCACCACCGGACCGAGACGTTGTATGCGACGACGATTTCTCATCTTTCCCTTACCGGCTCTAAATCTCTTAGACTGATAGACTTTCTGGATATCAGCCCATACTTTCATTCTTCTTAAGAACTGAACTGCCTGCTTTGTCTTGGTGTATTCTTGAATCTTATCACTTACAACCAACGGGACTTCGCTTATCTCTTCAATTTTATGGCCTTTCGACATAACTAAAGAGGGGACGCCAGTAGCGGCAATGGCAGAGCATATGGCATAGCGGCGTTGGTTAACGTTGATTTTGCGGTGCCAGCGTCTCCATGTCTTGGTAGGGGCGAACATTCTTCCACCTCTACACATATTTCCGAAAGCACCTTGACCAGAGCGATGAGTTCCTCCACCACGAACACGTGGAATTCTTGCTACTGCTCTTCCAGTTCCCCAAGATTCGGCAGATGTTTGATGTCCAGCGGCTTTAGAAACTGCATAAGGATGTCGTCTATTTTTTGCCATATTCATATGGACGAAATTGACGATATCCGGTCTAATCGGAGCCTTGAATACGGCAGGGAGCGAAATTGATGATCCCGACGGTTCATTCTTATCCGAATATACACTAATCAAAGGTCTGGCTGCGGCCACAGACATTTTTCTAATTAATTGTTCTTAGAAAATTCAAAACTAAATATTCTGATTACCTTAATAAGTATTAATTTAATAAATGAAAAAACGATCACCTAGCCACGTTGTTCACGACTTTCTCTCCATACAAAATGGCGGCGAGAGACAAACACGCCACCAACTTCTTTGGAAATGATGAGATAAATTTCGCCAAAATTCAGCCAAATAAATATTATTAAAACATTGATTTAAAGACGAATTAAATATAAATTTATAACTTCAATTTTTAAAAATAAAATAATTTAAGCGCGAAGAATTGACGAAAATCGATATACAGTATTTTAAAATTATTAATTTTATTTTATAAAAATTTTTGAAGTATTTATTTCGCTTTCAAAACAAAAAGAATGTTTTAATTTAATGATAATATGAATAATATTAACAAAAAAAACTATATTAATTTATATTTTATTGTTTTGTTTTGAAATAAGCTAACATCGTATCAGAAAGCCATGTGGAAAAATAAATAAATTTTTTATATTTATTCCTTCCGCCGTACGGCAATAAGACTCTTTATCGTGTCCAATGCGAATTCAATCAGAAGCAGCCAGGAAATTTTTTTAAACTCCCCCCACTCCATTGTGAGCACTAAGAGGGCTTTTTATCGGGCTCGGCCAGGCCACAATGGGCGTTCGCGTGATAGAGGACAGGGACAGACCATTCCTCAAAATATTCCTGAGATTTTTCGACAGTCCGGATTCGATCCCGGGGTCCCCCATAGCAATAGGTCGAGGCCTTAAAAGCCTGGGTTATCCGGCCTGCTACAGCCATGTAGTCCGATCCGTTTATGCCAGTCCAGGAAAGACCCGACATATCCGGATCAGACTATATCATCATCATCTCCGACATCCGATTGTCAATGAGGAAGAACTATGGTATAAATCAAAACTCAAAGAGATTTGGAAACGTTTGAGTATAGATTATTATTAATGTTGTTTATACCAGAAAAATTTGTAGTAGTAAATGCTTTGCTCTAAGAAATACGCAACTTATAAAATAAACAAAATTATACTCGTTACTCCATAGAGAATTCTTATCGCGTTTAATTATACAGTATGTAGTGCTTTTTGGTGGAAAGGTGGTGGAACGCTCGTCTCATTACTAACAATATATTACATGCATAGTATACAAGATTCGGCACACAAGCAGGAGCAGGACCGTCTTAATAATTTTGTTGCGATCTTCTATGCTCAACAGAGCAATTCAACGCGGACCAAATATCAAATTTTCAAAAGTTCTCTTAAAACTTTTTAAATATATCGAAAAAAAAGGTGATGGAACGCCGTTCCATTGCATTCTATGACAAAAAAGCGCTGATTATATATATATATATATATATAATAAAAAAAAATTCAAATGTGGGAATGCGATTTCATTATACC